TAATATCTCATTATTACATCATCTCGTCCAAGTGATATGCAGTTTTGCAATCCTCCACCCACTGAATAGAAACTAAATGGTGACAATTCCCAACATAAAAGTCAGAGCTGTTACTTGATAATTCCAGCTGGCTGTTTGCTTCCTGGGCCTCCAACTCGGACACCAGTCACCAAGATCCCACGGTAAGCTCTGTGGGCAGTGTCTGCATGCATCTCTAGTCCTACAGGACTGTCAGGACCCCATCAACAAAGTGAAATGCCAATACCCCTCTGTCTAACATGTCCTGGGTCATTATCGGGAATCGTGCAAAGTAGCTGGACTGACAGTTCTTGAACTGACTCAGGAAATCTAACTCTTGGGTCTCAACATTTCTCACTGGCGAGTTTCAATTGGGTTTTAAAGATAGTGGCTATGCAGGAATCCTGCCTGTGGCCTGTACCTCTGCCTATGGCGAATGGGAGAATATCACAAGTGGGGTGCTGCAGGAATGTGATGCGTGGGTAATGAGGAGATTTTGGGAAGATAGTGTAAGAAAACTTGTGGTTTTCATGGGGATGCTTTTCAGAGAGAAACCCTCCATGAAAATTGTCAAAAATGATGCTCAGTTAATTTCTGTTAAGACTCAGTACAATATCACTACTGTTTAAAAGGCACTGAGCTAAAACCATGGAACTCCCTTCCTAACAGCACTGCTGCTGTATCCACACCCTAAGGACCCCAGTTGTTGAAGCAAATGGCTCACCATCACTGTCTCAATGACAGTTGAGAATGTGCAATAAGTACCAGCCTAACTATCAATATCCATATCCTGTGAATGCATAAACTAAAATTTCAATCTCTCAGAGACCTTTATATATAAAGGTTCAGTCTAGAATGCATGTTCATATTCCAGAGAAGAGTTTGCATCTGTAAACTTCTAAACTAGAGCTGACAGCCCACCTGCTGAGTCAAGCTAACAATTAAATAAGCATTTGCCAAGTTGAGGTGATTTTGGTCCTGAGAAATTGAAGGGAATTTGCAAGTTTCAACTCGCTCATAGCCATAACATGTAATCTAAAATGTTTTTATTCACTCTCAGCAGTAAATTACCCTCAGTTTAAAAGTGTGACAGATGCTGAAGATTTGGAGTTCACTGAACCATATTTGGCTGAATGTACCGAAAGAAGACATTAATTACAACTCTTGGCATCTTCTGTCTAGCATCACTAATGAAAACAGTTAATCCTGTCTGGGAGAATTTCTGTACACCTTTAGTCTAGAGTTACAATCACTTACACTTTACCCAAATTTGAAGTCCAGAATTAACCAAAGTGCTTCTTTTTAGGTTTAATGTCATTGCGGGCAGACAAGAGACACAGAGTTAGATGGCTATGAGATTTAGAGAAGTGATTACACAGTAGGATCAGTCAGATAGATGGGTCACTGTCAGGAAAGATAAGAGGATACTTAAGAAGTCTCTTGTGGCCAGTCCTCTCTCAAACAGATACTCAGTTTTGGGTACTGTTGAAAAGGATAGTCTCTCAGAGGAAAATAGAAGAGGCAGTTAGATCTTGAAGTGTAAGAATGAATCTTATGTTAGATGGGGTTGTCATAATTTAAAAGAATAGTTGTTATGGGAGATTATCCTGTCAGGGGCATAGGCAGGAGATTCTGCAGCAGAGTGTGAATCTAGGATAGTATGTTGCTTTCCTGGTACCAGGATTAGGGAAGTCTCAAAACATTTGAAGCTGTTATTAAAGGAGAGAGTGATAAGGTAGAAGTTATTGTACACATTGGTAGGAATGACATAGTTAGGGAAAAGAATATGGAGTGAATATAAGAAGTGAGGTAGAAGATTTAAAAACAGATCCTTAAAAGTAGTAATCTCTGGTTTACTCCAGTGCCAAGCTCGAATGAGGGAAAGAATAAAAGGATAAAGGAGATAAATCATTGACTAAAGAGGTGCTGTAATATTCAGGGATTCAGGTTCTTGGATCATTGTGATCTCTTTTGGGGCAGAAAATACCTGTTCAAAAAGAATGGGTTTTACCTGTACTAGAAAGGGACCAATATCCTAGCAGGGAGATATGCTATTCTATTAAGGGAGACAGTAAACTATCGGGGTGGGGAGGTGGGGAAGGGGGGGTTGCCTAAAGTGGTAGAGTAAATAGAAAGTTAGATGAAGATGGTTCTGAATCTGAAACAAACAAATTATTTAGAAAAGACAGGCAAGAACAAGTCAGAGAACGAAGTAACTGAAGAATTAAACTGCATTTATTTCAATGCAAGGGGACTTGCTGATAAGGCTCATGAACTCAGGGCATGTGTGGGAACTTGGGATTGGGACATTATAGCTATTACAGAAACTTGGCTGAAGGATGGATAGGACTGGCAGCTCTATGTTCCGGGTTTCAGATGGTATAGAAAGGATAGAAAGGGAGGCAAAAGATGAGGGGGAGTGGTGTTTTTGATTAAGGAAAACATTACTACTGTAGCTAGAGAAGATATTTCTGAAAAATTGCCCAATGAAATGGGTTGGAATTAGAAATACAAAAGTAATGATCACCCTGATGGGATTACACTATAGAGCCCCCAATAATCAGAGGCAAATTGAGGAACAAGCACATGGAAAAAACTCAGATATGTGTAAGAATAATAAAGTGTGATGGTAGGCGATTTTAATTTTCCAAACATTGACTGGGGCTGCCATATTGTGAAAGGTTTGGATGGTGAAGAATTTGTTAAATGTGTTCAAGAAAATTTTCTTTCTCAATATGTAAATGTTCCAACTAGAGAAGAAGCAAAAGTTGACCTTCTCTTGGGTAATGAGGCAGGGCAAGTGACTGAAGTGATAGCAGGGGAACACTTTGGGTCTAGCAATCATAATTCTATTTGTTTTAAAATAGTTATGGAAAACGATAAGACTTCCATAAAAGTTGAAGATTTTAATTGAGGAAGTCAAATTTTAATGATATGAGACAAGAACAGGCTAATCCACCTAGCCTGCACATCTCTGGACACTATGGGCAATTTAGCATGGCCAATCCACCTAATCTGCACATCTTTGGACTGTAGGAAGAAACAAGGATACATGGAGGAAACCCACACAGACCTGGGGAGAATGTGCAAACTCTATACTGATATTGAACCCCGGGTCACTGGCGCTGTAAGACAGCAGTGCTAACCACTGAGTCATTGGGCTGCCCTACTGAGCCACCATGCCACCCTATTGAGCCACAATGCCTTTGTTTAAAAAGGGATGTAAGGAGAAGCCTGAGAACTATACACCTGTGAGTCTGGCCAGTGGTCGGTAAGTTGTTGTAGGTGATTCTGAAACATAGGATTTATATGCATTTGGAAATGTAAGGAAAGATGAGGGATAGTCAGCATGGTTTTGTGCAAGGGAAATGGTGTCTCACAAACCTGACTGAGTTTTTTGAGTTAGTAACCAAGAAGATTTATGAGGGCAGAGCAGTAGACATTACTTACTTGGACTTTACGTAAGGTTCCCTATGGTAGACTAATTAATAAAATTACATCGCATGGGATTCAGGGCGAGCTTGCCAATTGGATACAAATTGGCTTAATGGCAGGAGAAAGAGATTGATGGTGGAGGTAGCAAGAACTGCAGATGGTGGAGTTGGAGACAACACAGTGCGGAGTTGGAGGAACACTGCAGGCCAGGCAGCATCAAAGGAGCAGGAAAGTTGACATTTCACGTCAGGACCCTTCTTCAGAAATGGGGAGGGGGAAGGGAGATGGGAAATAAATAGAGAGGGGAGGGTGGGGCTGAGGAAGGTATGTGAGATGGTGATAGGTGAATGCAGGTAGGGAGTGGTGGGGATTGGTCAGTGGGATGGGTGTGGTAGATAGGTGGGAGAGAAGATGGGTAGGTTACATCAGGTCAAGGAGGCAGGAGAAAGGATGGGTGGGGTTGGGGAAAGATAGGTGGGGTGGTGATAGGTTGGATGCAGGTAGGGGGTAGTGGGGATTGGTCAGCCAGAAGGGTAGGGCAGATAGTTGGGAAAGAAGATGGACAGGTTCTTCCCCACCTATCCACACTACCCTTCCCGCCGACTAATCCCCACTCCGCCCTACCTGCATTCACCTATCGCCATTCCACATACCTTCCTCTGGCCCACCCTCCTCTCTCTATTTTTTTCCCTGCTCTCTTTCCCCTCCCCATTTCTGAAGAAGGGTCCCAACCCGAAACGTCAACTTTCCTGCTCCTCTGATGCTGCCTGGCCTGCTGTGTTCCTCCGGCTGTATACTGTGATGGTGGAGTATTGCTTTTTGGACTGGAGGCCTGTTATCAGTGGTGTTCCACAGGAACTGGTGCTGTGTCCAGTTTTGTTTGTCATTTATATAAATGATATAGCTAAGAATATAGAAGGCATCGTTAGTAAGTGTGTGAATAACACCAAAATTGGTGGTAAAGTGGATAGTAAAGAAGCTTATTTAAAATTACAAAAATATTTTGATCAATTGGGTCAATGGGCTGAAGAGTAGCAGATGGAGTTTAATTTGGATAAATACGAGGAAGGACATCATTAAATTGGAGAGGGTTTAGAAAAGATTTAGCAGAATGTTAAAAAGAATGGAGGGTTTGAGTTATAAGGAGAGGTCAGAAAGGCTGGGACTCGTTTCAGTGGAGCGTAGGAGGTTGCGAGGTGACCTTGTAGAGTTTTATAAAATCATGAGTGATTTGGGAAGGTGAATGGCAGGTGTCCTTTCCCTAGGGTGCGGGATAAGTGCAGGCAGGTGGGGCTAGTTTAGTTTGGGATTATGGTTGGCATGGACTGGTTGGACCGAAGGCCCTGTTTCCATGCTCTATGACTCTATGCCTCTGACTCATTTGAAAAATGACTAGAATTTGTACTGAGTGCCAACAGTTAGTTCTGTATTCCAGCAGATATCATTGCCATTAGAAGTAAAACTAAGTTAGAAATATGGAGTGGATTTCAATATTTCTTTATGTTGAGATATTTTTTATTTCATTTGTACTGCTGTTTGAATTTCAGTGTACTTCTAGATGAAGATGGCCACATTAAAATAACAGGTGAGTACATTTTAGATTAATGTTAATGAGAATGAAAGCCAGCGGCATTGAAATAGAATATTTAAGTTCATTGCAGTTTTTTCTGATAGTTTGACAATATTTCAGTCATACCTAAAAGTCATTCTTGTTACTCAGACTTTGGACTCAGCAAGGAGGCTGTTGACCATGACAAAAGAGCCTATTCCTTCTGTGGGACAATAGAATATATGGCTCCCGAAGTAGTTAATCGGCGTGGTCATGCACAAAGTGCAGACTGGTGGTCCTTTGGTGTTTTAATGGTGAGTGAGCTACCTTCCTCTTTTAACAGTGGGTAAATAGATATTATTTGCTGTTATGTCCTTTCCATCAGATTTTTCAAAGTTGCAGCCTAAGTATAACAATATTTGGTGTCTTATCAATAAAGACATTGATAAAATTAACTTTTGCTGTTTGTTACTGAAGTTCTTTGAGTGAGTATTAATGGCTTGAAATGAATATGAATGAGATAGAATTAGCATGCAGCAATGATATCTGAGAATTGAGGTCTTTCTGCAATCTGAGACCTCTGTACTGCTACAAAGGAACTTAAACTGCATTAATTAAATTCTACATCAATATGAAAGCTGTCGTGTTTTGAAAACTGTAGTTATGATCCCTGTGGAGGCCAGCCATTTTTTTAAAAATAAACTCAAACATCCAATGAATGGATGAAAGGAATGCTCAACATTGTTTCATATGGGGATAGCAAGAACTGCAGATGCTGGAGTCAGAGATGACACAGTATGAAGCTGAAAGAACATAGCAGGCCAGGCAGCATCAGAGGAGCAGGAAAGTTGACGTTTCAAGTCGGGACCCTTCTTCAAACATTTCTGAAGAAGGGTCCCCACCCGTAACGTCAACTTTCCTGTTCTTGTGATGCTGCCTGGCCTGCTGTGTTCTTCCACCTCCATACTGTGTTATCTATGACTTCATATGGGACTTTGACTGTAACATTCGACTTACATACAACATTAACTAAACAGTGTTTCGATTAGCAACTTGCACTCTAAACTACAGAAAACATCCCTTATCTATCATTTAAAATTGTTGAAAATCTTCCCTTACAGTGTTACTTTACTCTGCCCTTTAAGTACACATCTCATCCTCGAGGAACAAGTTCAAAAGGATACTTAATTCCTTTTTGTTTAGCCAGTTGGATAACTTCTGAACTCAATCTGACTTTTGTAATGTTGCATTGTTGATCATGACAGAGCCACACTGGTTCAGTGATACTTTTATGAAAACTCTTTAATGAAATCCTCCAATGGCTTCCTACGGACTCTTCCTCCCTCAACGAATAGCTCCATGGCATTATGAAATCATATGAGCTTCGTATCCAGATAGAATTGTTTATTGGCTATCTTCTAGACCCCTATCTTTCTTCATTCTTGAAATTAAATAGGAAGATTAAAGTCCAATCATTTACAAAGCTTGTCAATTCTAATAACTCCGTAGAATTTGGGAATTAACAGTCTGACTATTTTCACCATAACTACGCAGTGCATTATTTGCAAACCTGAATCTCTTGAACCTTCTTCCCAGAAAGGCCCCTTTAGTAACCTTCAAGAACCAAGCCATCCAAGCTTATTATCAGGTGGAATCCAGAAAAGGCCACATGATCCCTCTCATTCTTCCAGCCTATCATGAATTTAAAGACATGGGCTGAATTTTCCCAATTACAGTTAAAATGTCCAGTGTAATTTATGGCACCCTGATGTATGGCTCATAACAACTTTTTTCATTTAATCTTCCACTCTTCACCTCATTATTATGCACCGGGCTCTTTGGCATCTTGCTGATACAATCGCTGGCTAGAGAGGTGGATGTGCTCATCATTATTGGAACCTTCTGGCTTTTGTGTTACTGGGACCGTATTTAAGGGTTAGTTGCACACGACTTCAGATGCTGCAAGCCAGGAGCTGGTCCTTACGCTGTGGTGCTCCGCCATATTCATTGAAGATGTGGCCCAGAAAGCAAAGCTCGGCCATCATTTCACAGGCAGGGACCTGGAGCTGCTGGTGGATAGGGTGGTGGAGAAGAGGTAGCCAAGGTCAATGTTGTGCCTGGATTGAAAAGAATGCTCAGCAGTGCAGGAAGAAGCTGAATGATCTTCTGCACTTCACATGGATGGGCAGTACCATCTTCCTCCTTCTACCTCCCCCTCACCACTTATTCTAATTCTGACACTACACACTCATCTCACCTGGGCTCATGGACTACACCTCTCAGTATTATATGCATCGTATCCACCTCGATACCATTCACTCACCTCATTCTCCCGAGCTACTCATCCTCCATGACCTCTGCACTTCCTACTCACTCAATAGAGACACTTCAGCATCACTCCAACTCCTGAAGTACCACTAAATGCTCTTCCATCTATTCTCAATACACTCAGTTCCTCTGTCACATTGCAGGAGAAATTGTCCGTTCCCAATCTGCTGTTTCACTGCATCCCAATGGAACTACCTGTGATCTCCAGATTGACCTGCAGGACTGACTGTGGCCCCATCCTGGGTTGCAAGGAGTTGGATCCCTGGATTCTGGTAGGACCAAGCATCTGACTGGCTGTGGTCAACCCCCTGAACTGGAACCAGGGCTCTTTACTGACTGTGGTGGCACCCCTGACTGACTATACCTTCCTTGAACTCGCAAAGGATTGCTCCCCTTTGACTTTCAGGCATGGCCATTCGCTTGAAGCATGTGGACTGTGTTAGCCACATATGCTGTTGGCATATGTTGCACATACGACATTGATGTAGCCCGGTGCTATCCAGTGAAAAATCCAACCCTTTGATTGTTCTGTGCTCTCCACCATAACAATCTGCTTGCGTCTCCTTCCGCATTAACGAGCAATGCAAACCACAGAGGTTGACAGCTTTCAAATAAGCATGAAGTATGTGACTACTAAGATACTGGGCCAAGATCCATTAGATGCACCCTGTTTAGATGCATGTGATGTTTGTGCGTCCTGGCGTACAAAGCAACTTGGCAGCAGCATGCAAGTCCTGAGTGTCCCTGACCTCCAAAGTAAAGAGCGGAAAGGCTGAAATGGTGTGTGAGTCTAAGAGCAGGCATGATATTGTGGTAAGGCTTATGGTTAGCCAGTGTTGATTTGAGTGAACGAAAGGTCAAGGATAATAGTGATCATGGAGCATGCTGGATGTTGTTTGAAGACAGAGTTGAATGGTGGCCAGAACAAGCAAGTGATGAACTGCAGCCTCTAGGTACTCGTTCTGTTTTACATGTCAAGCACTTGCACCATCTACTTTCTCTGTGAAGGAAAGGAGAATTAGAAGGTATAAATAAGGCAAGTTGAGCAAATAATGAAATGCAAATGCATGAAAGTAAGGACATTGCCCACTCAGTGGCGAAATCACCATTTAAAATTTATGGTGAAAAATTGTATTGACATTGAGGTTTAGACTTTTTTTTATTCTTGCCATATTTTCCAACTTTGTCATCAGTGCCTATGAAACACCAAAGAGAGAAGAATTCCACTCAAAGTCTAAATCTAACAATACCTCCCATTCATAAAACAGGCTGATTCACACACACATACATGCACAGACATACACACACACATGCTCACACACATTCTCCCCCCACTCTCTCCCTCGCACACGCACACACAATGAGTGTTGGCTAAGGGTAAACATGAGGCATTAGGGAGCACTCAGGGAAATACGCCTAAAGATTGCATCTAAAAACATAAAATTAGTTTGGCTGACCTTAAGGTCCCCAATTCCTGATCCCCCTCCCCTTGGTCCAATTCTCAGGGATCCCTGACTCTCAATCTCCCCCGATAAGTTGCTTCACAATAAGCTGGCCAACAACATTGGAGTCCATACAATGAGAGGGGTTGTGAAAATATGGTTATAAAGTTGGCTGAGAGGAAACTGAGATTGTTGGTGAATGGCAGGAGGAAGGCATGCAATGCTGTTCTCTAAAGATCAGTACTAGGACCATTTCATTTACATTGATTATTGAGATTTGGATATATAGGGCACAACTTCAACATTTGCAAAGATATAATACTTTAAAGTATTTGAACTGCAGGGAGGAGATGGATTGACTTCAAGAGAACATAAACAGTGTGGTAGAATGGGCCAACATGTGCCACATGCAATTTGATGCTGAGAAATATGAAGTGACACATTTTATTGGAGCAATGATTTGATTTGCTTCATTATTGTCACATGTACCTAGGAACAGTGAAAAGTTTTGTTTTTCATGCAATACAGGAAGATTATGCCATACAAAGTGTATTAGGGTAATAGAACAGAGTGAAGAACACAGTGCAACACTGCAGTGAAGGTACACAAAGAACAAGATCAACACTAAATTTAAAATTTGAGAGGTCCATTCAGAAGTCTAATAACAGCGGGAAGAAGCTGTTCTTGAATTTGTTGCTACGTGTGTTTAAGTTTTTGTATCTTCTGCCTAATGGAAGAGTTTGGAAGAAATTATAACTGGGGTGGCAGAGGGGTCTTTGATTATGTTGGCTGCCTTCCTGAGGCAGAGGGAAGTATAGATGGATGGAAAGTTGGCTTGTGTGATGGATTGAGCTGTGTTCACAACTCTGTAGTTTCTTACGGTCCTGGGCAGAGCAGTTGCCACATCAACCGGTGATGCATCCGGGTAGGATGCCTTCTATGGTGCATCTATAAAAATTGGTAAGAATCTTTATGGACGTGCTGAATTTCCTTAGCCTCCTGAGGAAGTAAAGGCATTGTTGTGTTTTCTTGACTATAGCATCAGTGTGGATGGAGAGATTTTAGGAACTTCACGCTCTTGACTATCTCCACCTCAGCACCATTTAATGCAGAAGGGGCATGTCCTCCACCTTGCTTCCTGAAGTCTTTCATTTTGCTGATGTGGAGGGAGATATTGTTATCTTTACACCATGCCACCAAGCACTCTATCTTTTTCCTGTATTCTGTTTCGTCAATGTTTGAGATCAGGCCTACGACAGTGGTGTTGTCAGCGAACTTGTAGATGGAGTTAGGACAGAATTTCGCCATACAGTCATGAGTGTATAGGGAGTATAGTAAGGGGCTATGAGGAGAGGCAGTGCTAATTTAGGGTGAATTTCTAAAAGGGGTTCTGAAATAGAGAGACCTGTGTGTATATATGCACAAAAAAATTGAAGGTAGGGCAAAATAAATGTTTGAAAAGATTCTGGGCTGTAAAAATGGCACAGTGTTAAAAAGAACAAAGAAGTAATGATGTGTAGAGCTGGATGAACACAGCAGGCCAA